TTGATCTTGGGGTCCCGAAAAGTGGGCTGGGGTACACAGGAGCAAGATGTCTGGAAGGCCTCCTCGGTGCCAGAATTTATAACCTTTTGCCAGACTTGCCTCAAATCCCTTTATCAGACGTTCCATTTTGCATTAATCATTGACTTACTGTCAAGGCTCTTCTTTAGAGTATATGTCTCTTTGACACGGGTAATGATCTTCAGTTGCTCTGTCATTCACACCTCACTCTTTGTTGGTATATTCTCAAACTTTCAACCCTCCAGCTAGCTGAGATAACAATGCAGAGACAAAGGAAAATGAGGACTAAAAGTGCACAGGGATGTGTTTCTAAAGTAGCACTAAGTACCACTGAGTAGGTAGGAAAGAGTAGAAGACAACCACTGAAACCTTCAGGAGGAAAGCACTGGAGACCAGCTTCTCACTTTGTCATGCATTGCCTCAGCCGGAAGGCTTCAGTCAGCCAGACTAAGGAAGGCAGGACATTCTCTGTGGGAATTAGTGTTAAGATCTCAAGGGACGGTATCTTAATTTCTGAGTTATGTCTTAAGGCAGCATCCCAGAGGTGGGGACCTGATGCTGAAGGGGAGGAAGGAAGGCTCCCATCACCCTTCATGACACATTCTGCCTGACCTGCACTCTTCTGTTTTCCTTCTCCACTTCTCCCTTGGCATCCGACAGCTCTAAAGTCTTTCTGGAAATTGACAACCGCCAGTGTGTTCAAGACTCAGACCACTGCTTCAAGAATACGGATGCAGCAGCAGCTCTTCTAGCCTCTCATGCCATACGGGGGACCCTATCATACCCTCTCGTGTCTGTCATCAGTGAGTGGCACTGGTGTTGAGGGGAAAGGTGGCGGGGGGACAGTGTCAATTGGGGGCATAGTTTTCATTACGCAGTCCTCTTTTTTCAGGACTGGTGAGGTCAAAGTTGTCCTGTAAATGAATCTAATGCTGACATGGAGAGGTTGATGTTTTATTCAGCACTTTCCCTGTCTCTGTGGACTTTCAGGTGAATCCCCGATTCCAGAACGCACTCAGCTCCTCTATCTACTTGCTGTTGCTGTTGTCATCATTCTGTTTATTATTCTGCTGGGGGTTATCATGGCAAAACGAAAGCGTAAGCATGGCTCTCTCTGGCTGCCTGAAGGTTTCACTCTTCGCCGAGATGCAAGCAATCACAAGCGTCGTGAGCCAGTGGGACAGGATGCTGTGGGGCTTAAGTAAGAGGCATTGCCAGCAAGCCACTATTCACAATATAAATAGAGATAGACTATTTATATATATGACTAGAAAAGCGTATCTTGTTGAATTATGATTTTAAATCTAAGCTCTGGACATTTACTCGCACTGACTATGATTCTAAATGCCTTATGTGTGACTGAAACCACAGTCAGAGCCTGGGTGCATCTGATCTGTGCATATTATCACAGTGCTGCCCAGCTTCTGTGTTGAGGTGCACTTTTGTTTTGAGCTCTCGCTCAGTGGGAAGGGAAAGGATGAATGCCGAGGGGATGTCACAAGATGCCCATCTTCTCTTGGCCAAGACCCCGTAAAATTGTATTATAGCCATGGGAGTGTGTCGTGGTGGAAAGTGTTGAAAACCACTGTGTTAGTTTATGACATAACCGCCATTCTTATTTTTCCTTTTTATAATCGTATTAGAAATCTTTCGGTGCAAGTCTCAGAAGCTAACCTAATTGGCTCTGGAACAAGTGAACACTGGGTTGATGATGAAGGGCCCCAGCCAAAGAAAGTGAAGGTGAGGTGTCCGTGGTAGAACCAGCGTTGTCAGCCATTATCTGGTTACATTTCAGATTTTTGTCCTTTAGCTCTAGAGTGTCCTGAAACGGAGGAAAGAGTGATAGTCTTTATATGTTACCCAGACAATAACTATCCTAGGTTCTCCTAAACAGCAGGAATCCTTAGATCATTGATGACCTTGGGTTACCTATGTATGCTCTTCAAGAATAACTCTTTAAAAATATTAAAACAAACATGTCCCCTTCCTTTAATGTCATGCTGGCAAGTAGTCAAGTCAGGACTGGGATGTGTAGATGGCAGTTGCTTCATGGCCACTTCTCTCCCTCACCCTTTATGGGCACTTCTCCTTCTATAAGAGAAGATGAAATGAAGCAGCGGAAGAAAGCCGGTGATCACTGACATTGGAGGCTCCATACCTTGAGCCCAGGAAACTAAAACCTTATAAAAACAAGGGGTACACTGGGCTGAGACTAACGTGAAAAAGGAGACCCTCCATCCGCAGCTATGCATGGCTAGAGTATGATGGTTAAGAAAATTGCTTTAGTTAGTAACAGAACTGGATTCAAGTCCAAAACTCTGCCA